GCCTGCCTTTACACGCACATGAACTTTAATGGCATCCCAGTGTTAGTCTGTAGGGTTCAATATTGAGTTGGCCCAGCCTTTGCAGCTATAACAGCTTCAACTCTTCTGGGAAGGCTGTCCACAAGGATTAGGAATGTGTCTATGGGAATGTTTGACCACTCTTCCAGAAGCGCATTTGTAAAGTCATGTACTGATGTCGGACAGAAGGTCTGGCTCGCAGTCTCCGCTCTAATTCATCATAAAGGTGTTCTATTGAATTGGAGTCAGGACTCTGTGCAGGCCAGTCAAGTTACTCCACCCCAAACTTGCTCATCCATGTCTTTATGGACCTTGGAAGGGGCCATCCCCAAACTCTTCCCACAAAGTTGGGAGCATGAAATTGTCCAAAATGACTGATGCCTTAAGATATCCCTTCACTGGAGCTAAGGAGCCAAGTCCAACCCCTGAAAATCAATCCCACGCCATAATCCCCCCTCAACTAAACTTTACACTTGGCACAATGCAATCAGTCAGGCAAGTACTGTTCTCCTGGCAACTGCTAAACCCAGACATGTCCATCGGATTGCCAGACAGAGAAGTGTGATTCGTCACTCCAGAGAACACGTCTCCACTTCTCTAGAGTCCAGTGGTGGCATGCTTTACACCCCTGCATCCTTCGCTTTGCATTGCACTTGGTGATATAAGGCTTGAATAAAGCTGCTCGGCCATGGAAACCCATTCCATGAAGTTCTCTACGCACTGCTGTTGTGCTAATCTGAAGGCCACATGAAGTTTGGAGGTCTTTAGCTATTGACTCTGCAAATAGTTGGCGACTTCTGCGCACTGTGCACTTCAGCATGCGCTGACCCCACTCTGTCATTTTACGTGGCCTACCACTTCATGACTTGCTTCCAGTTACTTCCAATTTGTTATAATACCACTAACAGTTGACTATGGACTATTTAGTAGCAAGGAAGTTTCATGAATGGACTAGTTGCAAAAGTGGCAACCTATCACGGTACCAAACTTGAATTCACTGTGCTCCTGAGAGTGACCCATTATTTCACTAACATTTGTAGAAGCAGTCTGCATGTCTAGGTGCCTGATTTTATATACCTGTGGCCATGGAGGTGATTGGAACACCTGAATCCAATGATTTGGAGGGGTACTCCAATACTTTTGGCAATATAGTGTATATATTGTGAAAGTGCACTATCCTGCCATGATCTAAATCAATTTACAGATGGTACAGTACTCTGTATAAGCTATCCACATTTAGTGCTGAGGATTCTCCCCAATGCTGGAGTTTCTGCAGCTCATACAGGTTCACTTTTCTATATATTTTGGAATTGCTAATTATTACATTCCTACTGGAACCAAATTTTCTGTCTTATCTCTGAGATCATCCCCTCTTATATCACTGTTACTTGAGTTTTCCCTTCTACATTTAGGAAAAGATCAATTCCCCTCCACTATTAGAACTATTATTATCCGTGTTTTATTAGCTGACCGGTTAAATATTGCCAAACATTGGAATCACTTGTATCCTCCAAGCTTCCTAGAGGTAAATATATAACAGCCCCAAAAAAGAATGAATATGATATGCTTAAAGCATAATGTCAGCTAAAAAGGGATGTTCCACTTTTCCTCCTCCTCAACCATCCTCTACCATATTTGAAGGTTTTATTTCAGGGAGTGGGCATCTAGTTTTGACAGGTACCTACTCCCACTTCCACTTGGATCACCTAGGTAATCTTAGCAGAAGTTCAGCCACTCCATTGCAACCTCCTGCGAAACGCTTCAGGCCCAGGAGGCTACAGGTCCATTCAGAAAGCACAGCAAGATTTATGCATGCGCAGTGGGGAACCGGCTGTGAGCCAGTAGGAAGTCACAGCTGGCTTCCCACACTCAAGATGGCAGTGATGGGGACCTAAAGACCAGCGAAGACCTAATCCAGGTGATGACAATGCTGGATCCCTAGGTTGGTGATTACCAGTTTATGAAAAGTCAACAGCTACAGTATTTGTAGACGTTGACTTTTAATTTTTCTGCACATGGTTGGAGTTCCTCTAACTGCAACATCTTACTGGACTTATCAAATTCATTATTGTTGTTCCCTGACTCCCTTGTTAACCTGTTTCTGAACCTTCCCTTTCCCCTTCCTGCCCTCCCAATATCACCAACCTGCCTTTACCCTCTCTTACCTATCCCTACAAGGAACCTCTATCATAATAATATACAGTATACTACTGGAATGCTTAGTTTACACCACCTATTTGTTAGTTGTCTGCTAACTACCATAAAGCAACAGCTTGACCAATGTAGTCGCTCATCTCTCTTCAATAATTTTTCTGTGAACTCTGGTTGTTCATTGGGTTAAATGTGGTGTACCTTATGACATTACCTTTGTAAACACATTAGACTCTAAAATATACAGGACAGGACAGGACAGCATACAGATCAGAATTGTGTGGAACTAGGAAAATTCAACAAAGCCTACAAAACAGGGCAATGTGGAATTGGGAATGTGGACAAAACATCAACAATGAGGTGGAATGGAAAATGTACTGCACAGCACTCAAAATGGGGTTATATGGAATAGGTAGTGCACAGAATGGGAATGTAAGAGGGGCCAGGTGGATTTTATCCAAAATGGAGTAAATGCACATGGAGGTTGAGGTATGCAGCACAATGTACTAAACAAAGTTCCAACAAGGTGGCAACAAGTCCTGTATCTTATGGCTGAACCCAGTACAGCAGTACTTCACAGCAGGATTTGTATGACACAATCACAGTACAATAGAAGACTAGTAGGAGGCTTACAATGTCAGGCAGCATCTGACAAAGGATGTGGCTGGAAGGCTGTGTCAGGGCTCCCAGGTATGACCAGAGGTGTGTGACTGATGCAGGGAAACGCAGACTTCAGATATGTGATAAACAATACAATTTATTAACACTAACCATACAAACATAAAGGCAGTGCAATACTAAACATAATACAGTGCAAACAAACCAAACCAAACCAACCACCCACAGATAACAGTACATACAATGCAAGCGTCGTCAGGCAGGCCGGGTCAATATCAATTGGGCAGGTAGGTACAGGGGGAGCAAGCAGAGAATGGTCGGGGTCACAGGCCAGGTTCAGCAGGTAGCAAGCAGCGTAGTACAGAGGGTCAGGCAGAGGGATGGTCAGGGTCACAAGCCAGAGATCAAAACAGGTAACAAGCAGCGTAGTACAGAGGGTCAGGCAGAGGGACAGAAACAGGATGCGGGACAGAAACAGGATGCGGGACAGAAACAGGATGCGGGACAGAAACAGGATGCGGGACAGAAACAGGATGCGGGACAGAAACAACACCAAGGCAGAGTCTGTGGGTCTGGCCATCCCTTAAATACCCCAGCATCATCAGTTCCAGGTGTTAGCTGGCTGAAAGGTTGAGTCTCTGATTGCTGGGAGCACCCGCTGGCCAGCCCTGGTACTGCAGATCAAAAGGCAGGTGAGTCCCACCATTGCTGGCCAGTCCATTCCTAACAGTACCCCCCCCCAAGGAGCGGTCTCAGGACGCTCCAAACAGTCCTAGCTGGGCAAAATGTTCCACCGCCCGGGTCTGGTAACTGGCGGGATATCAAAGACTGGCACACCGGGCAGGACTCCGGGCAGCGCACACCGGGCTGGACTCCGGGCAGAGGCACACCGGGCTGGACTCCGGGCAGAGGCACACCGGGCTGGACTCCGGGCAGAGGCACATCGGGCAGAGGCACATCGGGCAGGACTCCGGGCAGAGGCACATCGGGCAGGACTCCGGGCAGAGGCACATCGGGCAGGACTCCGGGCAGAGGCACATCGGATTACCAGGCAAAGCAGCAGGCAGCGGGCCACCAGGCGGAGCAGCAGGCACCGGGCCCCCGGGCGGGGCGACATGCATCGGGCCCCCGGGCAGAGCAGCAGGCACCGGGCCCCCGGGCGGAGCAGCAGGCACCGGGCCCCCGGGCGGAGCAGCAGGCACCGGGCCCCCGGGCGGAGCAGCAGGCACCGGGCCCCCGGGCGGGGGCGACCCGAGCCCCCGGGCGGGGAAGCAGGCACCGGGCCCCCGGGCGGAGCAGCAGGCACCGGGCCCCGGGCGGGGCAACAGGCACCGGGCCCCCGGGCGGGGCAGCAGGCACCGGGCCCCCGGGCGGGGCAGCAGGCACCGGGCCCCCGGGCGGGGCGCCAGGCATCGGGCCCCCGGGCGGGGCAACAGGCACCGATGCCTGTCGCCCCCGGGCGGAGCAGCAGGCACCGGGCCCCCGGGCGGAGCAGCCGGGCCCCCGGGCCCCCGGGCGGAGCAGCAGGCACCGGGCCCCCGGGCGGAGCAGCAGGCACCGGGCCCCCGGGCGGAGCAGCAGGCGCCGGGCCCCCCCCGGGCGAGGAAGCAGGGCGCCGGGCCCCCGGGCGGGGCGCCGGGCGCCGGGCCCCCGGGCGGAAGCGGCGGGCGCCGGGCCCCCGGGCGGAGCGGCGGGCGCCGCCCCCCCGGCGGGGCGGAGCGGCGGGCGCCGGGCCCCCGGGCGGGCGGCGGGCGCCGGGCCCCCGGGCGGGGCGGCGGGCGCCGGGCCCCCCCGGGCGGAGCAGCAGGCACCGGGCCCCCGGGCGGGGCAAACAGGCACCGGGCCCCCGGGCGGGGGCAGCAGGCACCGGGCCCCCGGGCGGGGCGCCAGGCATCGGGCCCCCGGGCGGGGCAACAGGCACCGGGCCCCCGGGCGGGGCAACAGGCACCGGGCCCCCGGGCGGGGCAACAGGCACCGGGGCCCCCGGGCGGAGCGGCAGGCACCGGGCCCCCGGGCGGGGCGGCGGGCGCCGGGCCCCCGGGAGGGGCGACAGGCATCGGGCCCCCAGGCGGGGCGACAGGCATCGGGCCCCCCAGGCGGGGCGACAGGCATCGTGCCCCCAGGCGGGGCAACAGGCATCGTGCCCCCAGGCGGAGCGGCGGGCGCCGGACCCCCAGGCGGAGCGGCGGGCGCCAGACCCCCAGATGGAGCGACAGGTCTCGGGCCCTCAGGCGGAGCGGCGGGCGCCGGACCCCCAGATGGAGCGACAGGTCTCGGGCCCTCAGGCGGAGCGGCGGGCGCCGGACCCCCCCAGGCGGAGCGACAGCTCTCGGGCCCTCAGGCGGAGCGGCGGGCGCCGGACCCCCAGGCGGAGCGACAGGTCTCGGGCCTCTCAGGCGGAGCGGCGGGCGCCGGACCCCCGGGCGGAGCGACAGGTCTCGGGCCCTCAGGCGGAGCGGCGGGCGCCGGACCCCCGGGCGGAGCGACAGGTCTCGGGCCCTCAGGCGGAGCGGGGGGCGCCGGGCCCCCGGGCGGGCGGGGCAACAGGCACCGGGCCCCCGGGCGGGGCAACAGGCACCGGGCCCCCGGGCGGGGCAACAGGCACCGGGCCCCCGGGCGGGGCAACAGGCACCGGGCCCCCGGGCGGAGCAGCAGGCACCGGGCCCCCGGGCGGAGCAGCAGGCACCGGGCCCCCCGGGCGGGGCGCCAGGCATCGGGCCCCCCGGGCGGGCGGGGCGCCAGGCACCGGGCCCCCCCCGGAGCGGAGCAGCAGGCACCGGGCCCCCGGGCGGAGCAGCAGGCACCGGGCCCCCGGGCGGAGCAGCAGGCACCGGGCCCCCGGGCGGGGTGACCGGAGTCGGGCCCCCAGGCGGGGCGGCGGGCGCCGGGCCCCCGGGAGGGGCGACAGGCATCGGGCCCCCAGGCGGGGCGACAGGCATCGGGCCCCCAGGCGGGGCGACAGGCATCGGGCCCCCAGGCGGGGCGACAGGCATCGGGCCCCCAGGCGGGGCGACAGGCACCGGGCCCCCAGGGCGGAGCAGCAGGCACCGGGCCCCCGGGCGGAGCAGCAGGCACCGGGCCCCCGGGCGGAGCAGCAGGCACCGGGCCCCCGGCGGAGCAGCAGGCACCGGGCCCCCGGGCGAGGAAGCAGGCGCCGGGCCCCCCCCCGGGCGGGGCAACAGGCGCCGGGACCCCGGGCGGGGCGCCGGGCGCCGGGCCCCCGGGCGGGGCGCCGGGCGCCGGGCCCCCGGGCGAAGCGGCGGGCGCCGGGCCCCCGGGCGGAGCGGCGGCGCCGGGCCCCCGGGCGGGGCGGCGGGCGCCGGGCCCCCGGGCGGGGCGGCAGGCACCGGGCCCCCGGGCGGGGCAACAGGCACCGGGCCCCCGGGCGGGGCAACAGGCACCGGGCCCCCGGGCGGAGCAGCAGGCACCGGGCCCCCGGGCGGAGCAGCAGGCACCGGGCCCCCGGGCGGGGTGACCGGAGTCGGGCCCCCGGGCGGGGCGGCGGGCGGGCTGGGCCCCCCGGGCGGAGCAGCAGGCACCGGGCCCCCGGGCGGAGCAGCAGGGCACCGGGCCCCCGGGCGGAGCAGCAGGCACCGGGCCCCAGGCACCGGGCCCCCGGGGGGGTGACCGGAGTCGGGCCCCCGGGCGGGGCGGCGGGTGCCGGGCCCCCGGGAGGGGCGACAGGCATCGGGCCCCCGGGCGGGGCGACAGGCATCGGGCCCCCGGGCGGGGCGACAGGCACCGGGCCCCCGGGCGGGGCGCCATGCACCGGGCCCTCGGGCGCCGGGCGGGCAACAGGCACCGGGCCCCCGGGCGGGGCAGCAGGCACCGGGCCCCCGGGCGGGGCAGCAGGCATCGGGCCCCCGGGCGGAGGCACCAGGCACCCGGGCCCCCGGGCGGAGCAGCAGGCACCGGGCCCCCGGGCGGGGCAGGGGCCCGGGCCCCGGGCAGTACCGCAGGCACTCGGGCCCCCGGGCGGGGCGACCGGCACGTCGGGCCCCCAGGCGGGG